GCCTCTGGGCCAAAGCGCCACTTCATTATTTATAGAATAATAATTTTAAAAATATTTTATAATAATTTTCCAACTGAAAATATTTTTTACTATTTAAAAATCTCCTTTAAAAAAACTTCAGTCAAAAAACAATTTGACTGAAGTGTTTTTTATTTGTAAAATGATCCTCCTAACAAACCTGTATTATGGGGACAAAATGGAGGGATGTACATACAGTCAATGTTATACTGAGTTTATATCGATGATATACAAATAAACGCATGATAAGCCTCACTTTCACCTTACTGAAAAACAAATCCAATCACACACTGGGCAGGATTTTGTTAGAGTTACTGGTTCCCGTCCTCTGGGAATGACTGCATTAACATGTATGGCCACTGAACTTGACAGCTACAGAATAAACTGTGATAAAAATGTATGACCTCTGTAGGTTATGTGACTGGAAGTGCAGTGCCGGAAAATAAAAGTACACAGACAGACTTGGTTGGGTTGGACAGCACAGCTGAGGTGGGAGTTTTTCCTGAAACAGTGGCAGCTAACGGTGAAGCTGCGGGTGTGCCTGAGCCCGAGGTCACAGCTGACGGGACAAACATCCAGAGTCAGCCTGTGCCAGGAGCTGACAGTCTCCCTGCAGGGCAGAGTGAGACCACCGGTAAAGCAGACGTTGATGGATTCATTATCAGTGTTGGACTGCATGTGTCCTGCATGTGATTTGTTTTCAGTGTCATCGCAAGTCAACAATTCAGCCTGACTTTTTCTTTTTTTTTTTTTTTAATTTTTTCATTTTAATAATTGTTCTCTAACTCATGTTTTTTTAATTTAAATAATAAATTCCTAATGCATTTTTACATTTTTGTGTATTATGGTGCACGTCACTTCAGTGCATGTCGACACAGTACTAAAATAAAATGTATTTATATGCGTGTGGTGAACTGAACAGACAAAAAAACTTTCTGTTAAAGGTGGATCTATTAAAAACAAAAAAGAAACAAATAGAAACCAAGCCTGTTAAACTAACTAGTGGCTTTAACTACTCTAACTGGAAATTTCCCAAAAAAAAAAAAAATCGTCACATTATGTGATCTTTGAATGCAACATATATCCATGTCAGGGAGGGAGTTTTGTGGTGAGGTTGGTGGTTTCCATTTGTTTTACGTCTTTCGTAGATCCACGTGGAGGGGCTCAACTGATCAAAAGAGGGCGCTGTGGGGAAGGTTTCAGAATCACCACATCAACAACTTTCCCCACAGAAGCATGTTAAACTTTTATGATTTTGTTTTTCCAATCTGCACAGTTTAACCTACTGATTTAAGAACTGCTTTTAAACAGAAGACTATTTTTCTCTCTTTTTTTTTTTTTTTGTTCTTTTTTTTTCTGTTATTGCCTAATTTCGTTTCTAAATCTCTGCACTACAGAAGCATCAGTGACAAAAGGACAAGGAACCAAATCAGCCAAACCTGGTAAACTTAGACTGGAACTACAGATTCACTTCATGGTTAACTCAAGGCGTGTGTTGGTAATACATGTTTACATTACCCTTGTAGACTGTGGACCGTCAGGAGTGCCCAATGGACAATGGATGAAAATTAGACCAGGTAAACCACGAGGGCAACTAGCTGGAGTTGCTGTCTCAAAATGATAACCATACTGTTAGCATTAAACCCCAAATCAAAATGATTTCGATTTAGTCTTCACATATTTGGTCATTTATTTCTTTTTTTTTTAAATCTGAGTTTTCGAATGTAAAATTGCATCCATTGCAGCAATACTATAAGCCTCTTATACCCATAATGCAACACCAGTGACAAATATCTGTGTGTGTGTGTCATTCCAGGTTATAATGGAGGAGCTGGTACACAGACCAAAGGTATTTCTTTGTGTTTTATGTTACACAAATGTTACACAAACTAATACTAGTAAATACTACAGTAATTACACGTTTAATTCTTCCAGGTTATAGAGCAGGGGCTGGGGTTCAAAACAGACACGGTGCCAAACCGCATGGTAAACGTATTTTATATGATTAAAATCAACATTAATTTCGTTACATTACTGTCGATTTAATTGTCAGAACAACGGAAACACGAGCAGGTCTGAGACAGTGATTTACTGTACTGTATGTGTCATGGTTTAGATGGTGCCAGTGCAGGAGCAGCATCAAATGGAGGAGGCTCTAAAGCAAGCATGTCAGGTGAGATTGTCTATAAGAAATTAAAAAAAAAAAAAAAAAAAAAAAATGTATCTAGCTCTCCCCCTAGTGGCAGCGCACCTCAGTTTCGTAATTCCTGAATTAGACCAGTGTTTCCCAACCTTTTTTGAGCCACGGCACATATATATCATCATATATATATATATATCAACCCCACGGCACACCACCAAACACAAATCTCACCAAAAGTGTATGTAATGAAATATAATAATCTTCTAGTTTAAAATGGCCTCATAATTGACTAAAAATGTGTCCTGTTTAGTTGAAGACTTCGCTGACATACTGGCAGGAATTGAAGAAAGACACTCACAAAGATCTTCTTCACCAGCTCTGATTATCTTTTGTTTAGTTTTCATAGCTATCTGCTGCCACCTAGCAGAAGAGTATTGAATTGTTCTGCCTTTCCTGCTTTGACGGGCAAAGAAAAAATATATGAAAATAAATAAATAATAGTTTTCAGGCCAATTAAATGAAATTGGATAATTTTTCCACGGCCTATCAGTGATCAAATCACCTTTTGTATATAATTATGCTTCATTCTTCTTAGGCTACCATCCAGGAGGCTACAGTTTTCCAGCACTAGCTAATGGATATGGAGCTGGTAATGTGTTGGTTTTTTTTATTATTATTATTAAGAAATACGAGCCATGTTAGCGTCCTTTTGATATATCTATGTTTATCAAACAGGAGTTCAATATCCTTATGCAGGGAATGTCCAACAGCCAGGTACACGTTTTCTTAAATTCTATGTTGATTCTACCCTTAACTGTATACGTATTTGTACTAGTACGATGACGTGTTTCGGTTATTGTACACAGGTTATGGACAAGGATCCTACCTGGGAGCTGCGTATGGGAATCCATATGCAGGTGCACATGTAATCTGGTGTAATGATGGCATTATGTCATACACCAGACCAGGTGATAATCCGGCATTATGTCATACACCAGACCAGGTGAAAATATTTCAAACGAGTTTTCCTGTTTTTTTGTGACAGGTTCAAAGAATGGCCAAAACGCTGGTGTTCAGCCTGACTACGCAGGTCAGCAGAAAAGTGTGATGTTTCACTCTTCTTTTGCAGTTTTTTTAAAGTTTTTTTTAAGTAAAGTATTTCAACTTTCAATATTTCTTTTTACATAGGTTTGGTTCAAGGTGACCCCAATGCTGAGGCCAAGTCAGGTAAGACAACAAGACAGAAAGGTCTCTCTGGGGGAAATTTTAAGACTCGACAATAAGATTCACTAATCAACTGGACATCAGTGAAATATTATTGATAATGATTCCTGTTCAACAGGCGTTCCTCAGCTTCCTTTTAACGGATTCCCAATGGTTCCTGCAGGGTTGGATGGTAAGTGCATAAAATCAACAGTATTCATTCAAATCTATGGCATAAATCAGGCATGGGCAAACTAAGGCCCGGGGGCCCAATGCGGCCCGTTCAGTTTTTCAATCCAGCCCGCCAAGCTTTATCAAATGATATAATTTATTTATATTATCATTATACTTCTGCCTTTTCTGTGCAATACCCACGTTTCCCCAATAGATGGCATAGAAAATTATAAAATAATTCTAGCTTTTATTTTCATTTATGTTCAATACTACATGTCACCTGGACACGTCTGATCGTATAATAATGCATGACGTTTCTTTGACCATACAGGTATGAGCCAGTTAAAACCCCAGTCTGCTGGACTTGGTCCAAATGGAAAATCTGACACGTATGGTGGTATGTACTGCACACGAGTTGAAAGCCTTACAATTTTAAAGGGACTGTCACACAGACAGACCACGTTGTGTTGTAAAATTCCCCTCTACTTAAAAAAAACAAAAAAAAAAAAAAAAAACCCCAGCTCATTTGCCACATACAAACCACATCGTCAACAATTTTTCCACTGACGCTGCAACCAATCAAATTCGCGGTCACCACAGAGCAGTTTCTACAGTTTACCATTTGACTATGTCACCAGATGCAGTGTCTTCTAAGACCCTGTTTAGGACCTAATATCTAAAGACAAATGTAGTGACACTGCAGTTGAAGTACTGTTGCTACTATGTTGTCCCAGGTTTCTCTTTCTGTCCCTGTCTGGTAAAAACATAAACATATAGGAAATTGTTGTTGTCTCAGGTTTCTCTTTCTGTCCCCTGGTAAAAACATAAACATATAGGAAATCGTAGAGGGTAAATGTAAAAAGAAAAAAGAAGGTTCAACTGTATAAAAGAACACTTTAACCTACTATAAGATTTCAAAACATGAGCGTAACAGAGTAACCTTTTAAAAAACTGAAAGCTGTCTTTTGTGTCAGGAATGGCTGGCGTGCATTTTGGCGGCAAGGCAGCCGGAATGGGCGTTGAAAAGTCAAGCAAGAAGTACGGTGAGTCACATTTTATCACACGTCTGTAAGTAGACTCAAAAAAAAAAGTGTTTTGCACTTATTTGGACTTTTAGCAGTCATCGTTTACCAATTAGCTTATGTCGCTGTTTACTGCTCCAAGGCATTGGTGGTTTACAATTTGGCGGACAACCCTACAACGGAAATGGTGGGGCATCAAGGTTTGGTATGTGAATGTTCCGGTTGCACTTTGTGGTTTCCTGATGCTATTCATTTCTAAATTGTTGTTTTTTTTTCAGTGCGTTAAATTTTTTTCGATTTACTATCCAGGGTATGCTGGAGGACCATATGAACCCAGAGCTGATGGGAAATCTTTTGGAAAATATGGTGAGAGTCATGTTAGCGTTAGCGTGCAGAATTGAATCAACACAGATCAATCCGAATGAATTAAAATTAGAAACACCTACGGACTGCTGTATCATTAAAGCCGTTACAAAACAATAATCACATTTCTAGCTGATGGGTTCATTCCTATTAATCACCTTTAATTGGCTTGGGAGAGTCATAACATTAAATATGCCTTTATGCAGATGATGTACTACTATATCTACAGCACCCTAGAAAATGTCAAATTCAATTTATTCTATTTACAAAAATAAATCAATAGCAACTGTAGAATGTACCGTGTGGAATGATTACTTCTTAAGTGACTAAAATGTTGTACCTATTTTCTTGCGTCTCTGTTTAGGACACGGCGGTTTTCCCACCAGTGGGCAACATTTCGGTCTTGGTGCTAATGGCCCCGTACCTGGCCAATATGGTGAAGAAATGAAACACAAACTGAATATACACAAATAATTATATATAACATCTGTGCAATTTCATCCTTTTGATTTCAGGTTATGGAAGAATACCCTATGAAGCTCAACCAGCAGGGGTCAGTCACGAGTACAAACCGGCCGGAAAATATGGTACAAAAACTTTTTTTTTTTTTTGCTGAATTTCCTACATATTTTTTATCAGTACAAATAAATGAAAAAACAATTCTAGTTTGTATTAATATACGCATGCTGTATGCAGATATTAATTAATCAACTTTGTATTCAAGGTCAGTCTGGTGCTTCCTATCAGCCTGAAGCTCCAGGACTTGGACACGCTGGACAAGTAGGAAGTAAACATGGTAAGCCGCAGCTCTGTGTGTCAGGTGTTTACACAGTGTAGTCATGCGGTCGAACCCACTTCACACTCGTGTTCTGGTTCCTTCGTTTCGTGCCAAGAGGACGGAATGATGAATTGAAGTTTATGTAATTTATACTGTTGGACCCAGACAGATGTTTTTTTGTTGGGATATTAGCTACAGACAGTGGCATTTCCTAATCTTTTCATGCATAAACGCCATCTATTGGGGGAACGTGGGTATTAAACGGAAACGGCAGAAGTATAGTGATAATATAAATAAATTATATAATTTGGAAAAGTTTGGATTAAAAAGCTGAACGAGCCGCATCTGGCCCCCGGGCCTTAGTTTGCCCATGCCTGAAGTTTCTGTACAGTGCCGACATGGAACAACCCAATCAAACCGCGTACCTTCGTATTTGCGTGTAATGCTTTTGCTCTAGCTCTGCGACTGAGTTCTTAATAGTTTCGTGTAACGTTTTCAAATAAATGTCTCCACAGACAACATGGGAGCATTTAACGTACAGCCACTTGAATCCGCGCCTGTCACGACAGCCGGTGAGGCATATTATTTGATTATTATTATTATCCCTTCATCGTTTCCTACCCGCCATGTTGCAAACGTGCCAAGACGATTCATGAATGTTTTCATCTGATATATGATTTCTGGCATTTCACAGAGGGAGATAGTTTACCGTTCGAGACTCTACCCTCTGAACCAGATGCCGTTGGAACGCTCTTTGGTGAGTTTTGCGATCGTTCGGAAGCTCTACCTTTAAAAGGGACAAACAGTTCACTTTGATTTCTCACTGACAGGAGAGCAACCAACCCCAGCAGATGCAGTGGAAGCTGAGGGGAAGTCTGTGTATGGATATGGTGAGTATGCAGCAGTGTTGTATTTCCACAGCACGTTGACTGTGATTGGTGGGAATTTAAGATCATATCGTTTTACGTATGACACCTACGAAGTAGTATAGAGTGGTTTCCAACCTTTTTTGTCACACATACATATTTTACAAAATCCCAGGCAAACAAGGGATATCATTTTATGGATTATATATATATTTTGACATGTAATCTTCATGTAATCTGTTAAAGTATCCATCCATCCATCCATCCATTTTCATCCTCTTATCCATACCAACCCCCCTGAACCTTCCTGCGGGTGGTGAGTCCACTGGAAGGTACCAACCGCCCTAACCGGGATTCGAACTTGCCCAGGAGGTGAACCCCGGGGTTCCACACCAATGACAGAGACATTACCTCAGGGCCAAAGCGCCACATGTTAAAGTACAATTTATGAAAATAAATGATCTTGTAGATGAAATTTGCTCACAATATTACGTGAAACCTGGACCTGTCTAGTGGAACACATCTCTAAATAAAGTGGCAGGAATTGAAGAAAACCGCACATGATTCTACAACTGCTGCGATGTGAACCAAATTCATTTGCGTTCACATCAGAAATATCTTGAACAAAAAAAGTGTTATTTAAATGACTCCCAATTACCTGTACATGCCCGGAGATAACGTAGCATAATATTGCTAGCTTAGCTCTTTCTTAAAGCTGTACTTATGCCTCAGATTTGTTTTATTCTGTGCCTCTGGAGGAACTTGTTGGAAGTTGAGCACAATGTCGTCGAACTTAAAGGCATTATGTTCCATTTTCAGATGATGCGGGCTTTATTAACGGGCAAGTGCAACCGCAAGGTAAATGAAGCGACACAATCATAAACCAATGTAAAAACACTGAGGATTAACCACCTCAAAATGAGACACACATTGTCCCCCCCCTAAGACGTGTTTGTTTCTGCCCCGTAGTTGCTGCATCACCTGCAGCCCCCGGTCCCAGCCCAAGCCTGGCCTCCGTCGTTTCCGATGTGGTGCCTGGTGGTGAAGATTTGCCTGACATAGTGGACGGCACCGACCTGGACTCTGCCCCAGCTACAGGGTTCCAGAGTGTGGCCAAGATGGACGAAGAGACTGAAGACATGCAGCAACAGCAGCTGCCACGACAGATACACATCAAGCAGCA